GCCTGTGGTCCCAGCTACTTGGGAGGCGGAGGCAGGAGACTCGCTTGAGCCCAGGAGTTGGAGGTTGCTGTGATCAGTGAAGCCATAGCACTCTACCCGGGGGGCAGTTTGAGACTCTGTCTCAAATAAAAAAGATACTTTACATCTTAACCTGTATTAACCTGGATGAAGTTGGAACACATCCTTCTTAGTAAAGCATCACAAGCAATCCTCAGCACCCATAGCACAGTGGTTATGGCACCAGCCACATACACCAAAGTTGGTGGGTTCAAACCCAGCCTGGGCCAGCTAACCAACAATGACAACTGCAACAAAAAATAGCCAGGCATTGTGGCAGGCGCTTGTAGTACCAGCTACTTGGGAGGCTGAGGCAAGAGAATTGCTTAAGCCCAAAAGTTGGAGATTGCTGTGAACTGTGACACCGTGGCGACATAATGAACTGTTTCAAAAAACAACAAAAAAAAATGGACAAGCAATAATCCAATGTACTCAATTCTAATATGAAGGCAGCAGATGATCTAATACAAGGTGGGGGTCAGAGGACTTAGGAACTGGGGAGAGGAAAGGAGGGTTGTGATATATGACACACTTCTTGGGGGCAGGACACAATTTTAAGAGAGACTTTACCTAACAAATGCAATCAGTGTAACCCAACTCTTTGTATCCTCAATGAATCCCAAACAATAAAAAAGAATTTTAAAAAAATTTATAAACAAGCAAAAAAAATAAATAAGAAATGGCATGTACATGAAATGGCAGCTCCATCCTTCTTGCCAATCAACTGGACATGGGAAGGCTAAGAAAGAAAGCAATTCCCAAGTTTTTGGCTTGGGCAACCGAGTCAATGTTGTTTCATTTCCCCAGATGGTTACTACTGAGTCTGGGAAGAAGAAAAGTTCAAGTTGGACATGTTGAGTTTACAGTGCTCTGGGAACAGCCATCAAAGGACATCAAGAAATCATAGGCTCAGGCAAGGTAGCTCGTGCCTATAATCATAGCACTTCAGGAGGCCAAGGTGGGAGGACTGCTTGAAGTAGGGAGTTTGAGACCAACCTGAACAAGAGTAAGAACTCATCTCTAGTAAAAATAAAAAAATTAGCTCTCGCCTCCTTCTGCCTTCCCTCTCTCTCCCCGCCCCTCCTTTCCCCTCGCTCTTCTCTACTCTTTCTTCTCTTCCCACTCTCTCTTTATCTCTCTCCCCTCTCTTCTCTCCTCCTCGGAGCTGCTCTGCAGCCTCCCTGCCCCCACCAATAAAGACCTTTCCTACAGAAAAAAAAAAATTAGTCAGGCACTGTGGTGGACACCTATAGTCCCAACTATCTGGGAGGGGCTGAGGCAAGAGATCACTTGAGCCCAAGAGTTTAAGGTTGCTGTGAGCCATGATGTCACTGCACTCTACTCAAGGCTACAGAGTAAGACCCTTGTCTCAACAAAAAAAGAAAAGGAAAGAAAGAAAAAGAAAGCATAGGCCCCACATTTGGAGCTGAAGCAAAGGGGTTTAGTGTGGCTTTGAGATACATGGTGAAGAGCTGGCAGCACTAGGACAGTAAAGCACTGGAGTGAAAGCACTGCTTGTGGGGGAGGGGTGTGCCCAGGGGGCTGCTGCTGCCAGCTCAGCCCCATCTCTTCTTAGACCCTTATACTGCAGTCAGTTGGTTCCCCAATGTAATCTTTGGTGAGCAAATCTTGGGAATGAGGGTAGAAACACTCATTTTGTCCCCACTCTGCCTTATAGGTACACACAGAAGCAGAAAGAGCCTATTAAAAATAGCAAGTTACATTTATTAAGCGCTTACTATGTGCCAGGCCCTGTGCTAAACACTAAACATAAATTATCTCCCCAAATTATCACAATAATCCTGGCACCAAAGTCCTATGACTACCATTTCACAGATGGGACACTGAGGCTGGGAGCAAATGTGTGGGGGAGCTCAGGGCTGTCATGTCACACAGCCCACAGTTAGGCAGTCTCTGGGCCAGATGGAGAACATTGAAGAACAATTATAATATACAAGAGCTACTACTTAATGAGAGATGGCTCTGGACTAGGAATACAATCTCAGCAAATCCTTACAGTCCTTTGAGAGTGATACTGTGATTGTCTCATTTTATAAATGAGGAACCTGAGGCTGTAGGAGGGGAAGTCAACTAAACCAGTTTTAGTCTGGCCGTCTTGGGAGACCAAGCCTACAGTCAGAGTCCCTCCCTGAGGGTCTCTGGGCCACAGGAAAACGCTGAATAAATAGTATTTACTAAGTGCTACGGTGCCAGCTGCTGTGCTAAGCACTTTATACACTATATTCTCACTGCATTCTCAAAACAACTCTATGTAGTGGCTGCTATTTAAATCCCCATTTTACAGATAGGGAAATCAAGGCGCAGAAAGAAGTCAGTTACCCAGAATCACACAGCTGGTGTGATACTAAATCTGAACCTGGGTTTCTCCGCTTTCCAAACCAAAGCTCTTAGCAAGATAATTTCAGCTAACACAGCTAGTCATTATTGGGTGCTAACTATAGTCTCGGCTCTTTACAGGTACACGCTCAACTAACCGTCATCCCATGCGATCGATAATATCTGCACCTCGTATTTCCAGGAGCTAAGGATAATGCAAACACGTAATAACTATCTTCTATGTGCCGAATGTTTTATTCGCTTTATTATCTCAACAGAATCCCCAGCAAAAAACACTCTCCTGCCCCGTTTTACTGCAGGGAAAATTGAGGTTCCGTCAGGTTTCCCTAGAGCGCAGCTCCCAAGTGGCAGAACCGGGTTGCGAACCCATCGCTGGGACTCCAAGATCTTCCCTACAGCGACGGGTTGCACGTCTGGAAAGTTGAACCATGCGGGCACGAGTCCAGCTGGGTCCGGAGGGCGCGAGTCTCGGCGCCGCCGCCCCCCACAGTCGGTACCCACAGCCGGCTGTCCGCCCGGTCGCCCGCCCGCGCTGACCCTCCGGGTTCGAGCAGCCACCGATTCCCCGCCACCCTTGCCCAAGTCCGTTTCTGCACCCGAAGCCACATACCTAGGCGTCCCGGCTGCCGCCCCGCGGGCCCCACGACCGCTGCGCCCAGCCCCGCGCTGCTCACTGGAGACGCCGCCAGCTCCGGTGGCCCGAGTGACTTCCAGGCTGCCCACTTCCAAGCCGCTTTGCGCGAGGCCTCCTGGGAACTGTAGTTTCGCCCTAGGCGGCAGCGAACTGAAAAGAGCCTGGCGCGCAGGTGCTGCCGGGAGCAGTAGGCATACTACCGCGCCGCCTGCTGGGGACGGTAGTCCACCTGTCGCCTCCGTGCTGATCCAGTCTCCAGAGCACTTCCGCAGCCTCGAGGGGCGTGAGGGATGGAGGTGTGTCTTCTGCAGACTCCAGTCCCCGAGCCGCGCTCCTCACCCAGCTAGGATGGTTTCTCTTTTCTCCTGGCCCTGTCCGCCACCTCCCGCATTCGGCAGAGCCTCTCCCACACTCTCCGCGAGGCGCGAGGCGCTTACCCCCAGGACGCGAGCCTCGTGAGAGGTGGGGGAAGCAGAGCAGTGCGCTAGACCCCCCAACAGAGTGGGGCGGTGGACTAGGGCGTCGATGCGCGCTCGCGCAGGCGCGCTCGCCCACCGACTCCGGCCTAAATTGCCGCGGGCCCCCACGGGGAGGATTTTTTTTTTCCTTTCGAACGGGCGCGCGCGCGGGTTCTCGCACCAGGAGCGCGCCAGTGCGCACGCGCTCCCTCCCCTGGCCTTGGTCTGACTGCCCCGCGCGGACCGGGGGGCGCTAACCGCTCTATTTGCTGGGTTCTTCCGCATCATCCGCAAGGTAGTTTCTCAGGCGCTCGCTCCCTTTTGGTCTGTTACTTAACGCAGGAGCATCTCAGAGCCGTCACACACGCTATACCCCTACCTTGTCCGGAGTCCAGTCGCAGATATCCGGAGTGGCCCCTGCTTCAACGACGGACACGCCCTCTTTGCCGCCCACGTGGAGGGCCAGGACGCCTGAGTGTAAGAGGACTCAGGTCTGGTTGTCCTTTCGCGGCCTAAATGGCTCTTTAGACCAGAGCCTCAGGACTGCGACGCAGGAGGCTGCCCTGAAGACCTTGTGGTCTTACATTCTTTCGTTAATCGTACATTCTGCGGTAACTACTGTTGAGTACTTAAAGCCTTGGAAATTTTGTCCAAATTTAGTCCACCTGCTGACTTAATCACGGCTCTGACTCCCCCGCCCCCTTTAATGTGTATTTCCACTCTATGAGGGTTCCCAAGGGAATTGACCAGACTTGAAAGGTTCCCTGGTCGAGAGGCCTGAGTCAGTATTCTGCCTGCCTTCCAAGAAGATCCTCAGTAAAACTCGAAACTGGGAAGCATAAACGTATTTCTTCTTCCTGTGAGAGGACCGAGGGTTATTAATTTGCCCATTCATTCATCAAAAACATATTAAGCACCTACTCCATGTTAGTTTGGATAATTATGGAGACACAAGAGAAAACCAGACAGACTGGGGCCTTACCCTCAGGAAGCTCTCAGGCCCTAAGCAAATCAGGCCACCACCACATAGTGACAATCTAGAGCAGTACTATCCTATAGAAATGCTGTATAATGCAACCCATGCATGCAATTTTAATTTTACGTAAACAGGTGAAATTTTAACAGTTTAACACAAGTATATTTAAACAATATTCCAAGTTACATTTATTTATTTATTTTTAGAGACAGAGTCTCACTTTGTCACCCTTGGTAGGGTGCTGTGCCATCACAGCTCACAGCAACCTCCAGCTCTTGGGCTTAGGCGATTCTCTTGCCTCAGCCTCCCAAGTAGCTGGGACTACATGTGCCTGCTGCAAAGCCCAGCTATTTTGTTGTTGTTGCAGTTTTGCTGGAGCCGAGTTCAAACCCGCCACCCTCTGGTATAAGGGGCCCGTGGCCTACTCACTGAGCCACAGGCACCGTCCCTCCAAGTTATATTTAATGGAAAAATATTTTCATTGCTTCAGTTCTACAATTTAAGTTAATTAAAATTAAGTAAAATAAAAGGTTTATGAGGCACTTACGAAAATATACATTTGTGGCATTGGTTTTAATAGCAAAAGGTTGGAAACTGCCCAATGTCCATCAATAGAAATTTGGATAAGCAAGAAAGAGTTTGGGCACATGGTGGACTACCTTGTGGCTGGGAACTGTTGGAAATGAGGCAGAGCTATATGTATTAATATGAACCAATCTGTAAGATACATTAGGAAAGAAAAGATGCAGAACAGTGCACATCATGCACTATCATTTATGTAACAAAAAAATTTTTAGAGTTATGCTTGTGCATACATACAGAACATTGTTAGAAACACAACTAGGATTACCTCTCTAAAAGGAAAACAGAAGGATAAGAAGGCCAGATGTGAAAAGGTGACTTTTTCCTTATGTGCCCCTTAGTGTTTTTAAAACTTTTACTATGTCCGTAAAAAATGTGTTTAATGAAAGGGATAACAGCCGAGTCACAGAATCATTGCAAGAATTAAAACAATATATGTAGGACTGCACACAGTGGCTCACACCTGTAATCCTAGCACTCTGGGAGGCCAGGGTATTGCTTTAAAAGCTCAGGAGTCTGAGACAAGCCTGAGCAAGAGCAAGACTGTCTCTAAAAATAGCCAGACATTGTGACAGGAGCCTTTAGAAGACCTGAGCCCAAGAGTTTGAAGTTGCTGTGACCTATGATGCCATGCCACTCTAACCTGAGGCAACAGAGACTCTGACTCAAAACAAAACAAAACAATATGTGTAAAGTGCTATTGCCACTTTACAACCTAATCAATCCTAGAATCTATCATTACTCTCAGGGATCCAGGATAATTTTTCCACCCAACAGAAACTAGTTCATCCTGTTAAAGTATTTTGTTGGCCTGGAAAATTGTGTCTTTCAGTAAACAAAGTGCATTCCAATCCCAGCCCTAGCTATGCAGCCACGTGAAGGCCAGAGCAGCACTCCCCAACCCTGAAGACAAATTTGGGCTCCTTATCAGTAATATCATCAAAGAACCAGGTAAGCCGAAGTTGCCCCTCTGACTTTACAGTCAACTGATTAGGCCCTTCTGATGCCAGCTTAACTTTCTGCACCTCCTCCCCTAAATGTGAGACCCACTTGCAAGGCCATATAATTCACGCAGCAACCTACCTCACAGTGTACTGGGAGTCCCAGATAACTATGGGCTGGATTTCTTGCAGCAGGATCAGCAGAACTCACCCTCTGGTATTCCTAAGCCATGGCCCTATGTGGCTACAACACATCAAACTCCTTTTGGGTGTCAGGTCGCCTTATTATATATACTCATAGCACTTTGTACTTTTTCTTCTTAAAACTGAATCATGTCCCAGGTATGGTGACTCACACCTATAATACCAGCATTCTGAGAGGCTAAGGCAGATGGATTGCTTGAGCTCAGGAGTTCGAGACTAGCCTGAATAAGAGCAAGATCCAATCCTCATCTCTTATAAAAATAAAAAAAATAGCTGGGCATAGTGGTGCATTCCTATAGTCCCAGCTACTCAGGAGGCTGAGGCAAGAGGATTGCTCAAGATCAAGAGTTTGAGGTTGCTGTGAGTTATGATGCCAGGGTGACAGTGAGACTCTGTCTCAAAAACAAAATAAAATAAAAAATAATACTTACCTGGCAGGGTAGATACCATGATCACAAAGGTGGCTATCCCAGGGCAAGGCTTATCCACTGCACTCTGGATGTGCTGACCCTTGATATTTCCTCAAATTTGGGAAAGTTGGCTACATAATTAGTGGTAGTGGAGGACTGCATTCACATTTTCCTCTAAAAAATTTTTTAAAAGCTGGTGTTGTAGTAGGTGTTTGTAGTCCCAGCTACTCGGGAGGTGAGGCAGGAAGATTGCTTGAGCTCAGAAGTCTTAGGTTGCTATGAGCTATGATGTCACAGCACTCTATTGAGGGCAACAAAGTGAGACTCTGTCTCTAAATAAATAAACTGAATCACTAGTGTAATTTAAGTTTGGGGAAATTAAAAGTTGCAGAAAAATTCAAAGAATAATATAATTCATCACCCAGAATTTTCCATTGTAATCAATGTTATGGCCATTCTTTGATGTCTGCCTTCCCTTCTGAACTGTTAAGTTCTATAGAGCAACAACCCTGCCTCTGTCCTCTCAGAGGCATATAAAATAGAACATAGGGCCCATAGGGACCCTAAGGTCCTGAGTGTTGTGGAGTGCACTGCCCCCTAGAGGCAACTCTCTTCAACAAGGCAGGGCTGGGGGCTGTTTACCTTCCCTCAGATTACCACCAACAAACGCTTGGAGTGAAATGTTGCCAAGAAAAAGCATATTGTGGCTCAGCGCCTATAGCTCAACCGGCTAAGGTGCCAGCCACGTACACCTAAGGTGGCAGGTTCGAATCCCCAGCCCGGACCCGCCAAAACAACAATGACGGCTGCAACCAAAAAATAGCCAGGCGTTGTGGTGGGCGCCTGTGGTTCCTGCTACTTGGGAGGCGGAGGCAGGAGACTCGCTTGAGCCCAGGAGTTGGAGGTTGCTGTGAGCTGTAATGCCACGGCACTCTGCCCAGGGGGACAGCTTGAGGCTCTGTCTCAAAAAAAAAAAAAAAAAAAAAAAGAAAAGAAAAGAAAAGAAAAAGCATATTGTTCCCCTGTCCAAGCCCAATGAATGACCTGGTTTGTCTCCACAGTCATCAGGACAAACCATATGTTGGTTCCAAGTACCCTCTCCCTTATGTTGGGGGCCACAGGGCTTCAATTCCCCCATTAAATTGTCTTTGGGACTCGGCGCCTGTGGCTCAAGTGGCTAAGGCACCAGCCACATACACCTAAGGTGGCAGGTTCAAATCCAGCCCAGGCCCGCCAAACAACAATGAGGGCAAAAAAAGCCGGGCGATGTGGCGGGCACCTGTGGTCCCAGCTACTTGAGAGGCAAAGGCAGGAGACTGGCTTGAGCCCAGGAGTTGGAGGTTGCTGTGAGCTGTGATGTCTCAGCACTCTACCCAGGGGGGCAGCTTGAGGCTCTGTCTCAAAAAAAAAAAAAAATTGTCTTTGGGATGTCAAAATATTAAACATTCAAGGCTGGGTGTGGTGGCTTACTCCTGTAAAGCTAGCAATCTGAGAGGCGAAGGCAGGTGCATTGCTTAAGCTCAGGAATTTGAGACCAGTCTCAGTAAAAGTAAGGATGCCCCCCTTCCCCATCTCTACTAAAAATAGAAAAACTAGCCAAGCGTGATGGTGGCACCTATAGTCTCAGTTACTCAGAAGACTGAGGCAAGAGAATTGCATGAACCCAGGAGTTTGAGGTTGCTGTGAGCGATGATGCTATGGCACTCTACCCAGGGCAACAGAGTGAGGCTCTGTTTCAAAAATGTTTTTAAAATGATATTAAATAGTCAAGATACATCGGGATTAAAGCACCTGGAGTTCTCTCCAAACTTGCTTTTAAGAACAAGTACTGGGATTAGGGAGTCAAATATGGGGAATTTTAGGAAAGTGGCTTCCTCTGAGGGTAACTTGAGGAAACTGGTTTATGGGATGGGACAAAGTGGCAAAATAAAATAAAATAATATAAAAACAGAGGTTTGGGGTTGAAGGCCCTCTTTCTCATTCACCTCCTATCACTCCCTAGAAATGTTTCTCCAAAGGGACTCAACCACTCACTTTTCAGAGGCTTGTGACAAGAAAGGGGACCCAGAGAAGATATTTGGAACAATGGGAACTGATGGCAGCTATCACTGACAACTCTCTCAGCAGCTGTGGAGCCTCAAGAAGGAGCAAGTGGGGTGAGTCTGAGCTGTGAGGCTTGGCTCATAGGGCCATGCACTGATGTACAGGATCTGAAGCAGATCACACTGGCTCTTGAAAGGTGATCCAAATAAGCAGCACGTGCAGGGTTGCAGGGGGGCAAAATGGAAAAAGATAGCACAGGAGGGGAGCCTGCAGCCTGGGAGATGGAAAGAGAGAGGTGATGCTGCTGTCTGACAGCCAGTCCCCAGTTCCCATTGTGAGTGGATCTGTCACACAGCTTTCTTATTATCAGGTGACAGAACTTCCTCCTCCTCTGATATTGTAGAAGAATGCTGACCAGTGCTTTAGATCTTTGTCTTTTTATTTTTTGAGACAGAGTCTCAATCTTTCGCCCAGGCTGGCATGCCATGGAGTCAGCCTAACTCACAGCAACCTGGGCTCAAGCAAGCCTGCCTCAGCCTCCCGAGTAGCTGAGACTACAGGCACCTACAACAACGCCCAGCTAGTTTTTCTATTTTTAGTAGAGACGGAGTCTCACTCTTGCTTAGGCTGGTCTCTAACTCCAAAAAAGGAAGGAAGGAAAGAAGGAAGGAAGATCTTCCTTCAGGTGATCTTCCTGCCTTGGCCCTCCGAGTGATTAGAGATGTGAGCCACTCTATCCAGCCTAGATCTTAGTCTTGAATCTGCCCTGTGTAAACTCAATGCATCCCCGTTCCTCTCTGAGATCATGTTCCTTTTTTGTACAATGGAGTTGATGATATCTGCCCCTCTGGATTCCTTTTGTTTGTGAGACAGAGTTTCACTGTACCTCCTGGGTAGAATGCCATGGTACCATAGCTCACAGCAACCTCAAACTCTTGGGCTCAATAGATCCTCTTGCCTCATCCTCCCAAGTGGCTATGACCACAGTCACCTGCCACAATGCCTAGCTAGTTTTTCTATTTTTAGCCTTGCTCTTGCTCGGGCTGGTCTTGAACTCCTGAGCTCAGGCAATCCACCTTCCTCAGCTTCCCAGTGTGCTAGGATTACAAGTGTGAGCCACCATGCCTGGCTATCTCTGGATTATTTCAAGAACTAAGTAATCAATGCAAAAGCTTTGTTGTGGGCTCCAAACTACTCTACACATATGAGATAATGATGAGTTTTCCTCCCCAAGTCCAGCCATCAAGTCTCTGTGGCAACCCAGGGGGGCTTGGTTTAGCCATACTAAAGGATGTGTTCTGCTGATTTTGCTTCAGAAAGTTCAGGCCAAACTGATTTGGGACTCCAACAGCTCTCTACGCCAGTTCTCACACTTCATTGTGAATAACATCAGGTGGAGAGCTTGTTACAATTCAGATTGTTGGTCCTTACCCTCAGAGTTTTTAGTTCAGTAGGTTTGGAATGGGGTCCAATAATTTGCATTTCTAACAAGTTCCCAGATGATGCTGATGCTGCTTGTCTGGGAATCACAGGCTGGGAACCATGCCTCCATCTAGCAGGCAAGGTTGGCCTCCATTGCCCTCTGGTGGGCAGACTGTAAATTTAGCTGTCATGTTTCCAGAACAACTGGAAAGTTACAAAAATAAGGTTGAAAGGAACTAGAGTTGTCATCTGCCCGGGAACCAGGTTAGCCTAAAAACAGCTATTGTAATTGTTTGTTGCTTCAGAGTACATTTAAAAGGGTTTTCACATGAAGTACCCTAGTTGGTCTCTGCAACACACCTGTGGAGTTGGCATGAGAAATTGGCATTTTTTGCTTGCCTGTCTTCTTTCCTTCCTTCTTCCCTTTCTTCCATTTTTTTTTTTTTTTAGAGACAGGGTCTTGCAATGTTTTCCAGGCTGGTCTGGAACTCCTACTCTCAAGCAATCCTCCCACTTTGGCCTTCCAAAGTGTTGAGACTATAGGCATGAGCCACTGAACCCAGCCAAGCATTGTCATTTTACAAATGAGGAAAAACAGGCCTGTTTTCACATTAGTAATGACTCCCTGACAGAAGGGGATGGTTAAAAGTAAAATTTATTCACAATCCAACCAAGAAAAATAGGTTTGTCCTCATGAAGATCAAATAGAAGGGAAAGGGGAGAAGAACAAATAGCAGATGTACCTCCTGTAAGACAACTGCCTCAGTCAGCAAGCCTGGGGAAGCCTGCAAGGCCAAATGGCTGGATCTTTCCTGCATCTGTGGTAGGTGGGCTGACTCTTAGTCCTGGGTACCCCTTATCTCTATTTCCCAAGTCAGTAGTCAGACCTGAATGCTAATAGAATCACGTAGGGAGTTTGCTGCAAGTGAAGGTTCCCAGGTCCATGGTTCTAATTCAGTAGGTCTAAGGCAGGCAGGGACCTAGAAATCTGTGTTTTCTGTTTTTTGTTTTTTTGTTTTTTTTTTTTTAAGGAATCTATGTTTTAAGACCTCCCCCACACCCCAGAAATCCTGATGCAGAAGGTCCAGGGACCACATTTTGAGAGCCCCTAGTCCTCACAAAATGCTTTCCTGATATACCACAAAAACCAAACAACTATTATTTGCCTGTAAGGATATTCTTTTTTAGCCCCTCTCAAGGTTTCTCTGCTTCACATATCCATAATATTCTACTGTGTTATGATAGAAAAATGCTAATATTCAATCCCCAACTCCTTTATGTACCCTCTGCAAGACTCAGTTTTCTCATCTATAAAATGGGTATAATACCTGCTTTACTGGGCTATGCAGGTAGGCAATAACTTTCTTACTGTGCATAGTTCCTGACATTCAAAAGGTGTTCAATAAACATGAGTTCCTGGTTCTTGCCTTTTGATTCCTAGACCCTGGAAAAGTAGTAGTGGCTAAGCTAACCTCTTTTGGATTCCCACAGGTTTTTAAGTACCAGTTGGTCCTGAGGAAGACAAAGAGATAAGCAAGGTGATGTCTTCTACCAGACTCATTCCTCTGTGGAAGGATTTTAAATACTCCATAAGTGAAATTGTACATGATCGGCAGGTAACATATACGTGGGACATAAAGGTTTTATTGGTTGGCCTCTATCTATCTTACAGTAATAAACACTTCAGAAGAGCCACAGATTGTCTTTGAGAGCAGGAAGCAAGCAGGATAGACCATAAAGACAATTGTCACCCTATAGGAAGTTGGTTATCAATTTCTGAATGAGTGTGTAGACCTCTTACAAGGACAATCAATATTGGGAGGTAGACATTTTGGAGCATTGTCAGAGGAACTAACCTTCTGGAAAGAGAGATTTTCTAAAAAAGAAAGGAGCAGCTACTTGAAAGACTGAGGCAAAAGAATCGCTTAAGCCTAAGAGTTTGAGGTTGCCGTGAACTGTGACACCACAGCACTCTATCCAGGGCAACAGCTTGAGACTCTGTCTCAAAAGTAAATAAATAAATAGGCTTGGCTTGGCGCCTGTGGCTCAAGCGGCTAAGGCGCCAGCCACGTACACCTAAGGTGGCAGGTTCGAATCCAGCCTGGACCCGCCAAACAACAATAATGGCTGCAACCAAAAAAAAAAAAAATAGCCAGGCGTTGTGGCGGGCGCCTGTGGTCCCAGCTACTTGGGAGGCAGAGGCAGGAGACTCGCTTGAGCCCAGGAGTTGGAGGTTGCTGTGAGCAGTGAAGCCATAGCACTCTACCCAGGGGGACAGCTTGAGGCTCTGTCTCAAAAAATAAATAAATAAATAAATAAATAGGCTTGGTGCTCATAGCACAGTGGTTATAGTGCCAGCCACACCGAGGGTGGTGGGTTCAAACCCAGCCTGGGCCAGCTACACAACTGCAACAGAAAATAGCTAGGCATTGTGGCAGGCGCCTGTAGTCCCAGCTACATGGGAGGCTGAGGCAAGAGAATCGCTTAAGCCCAAGAGTATGAGGTTGTTATGAGCTGTGATGCCACAGCACTCTACCGAGGGTGACATAATGAGACTCTGTCTCAAAAAATAATAATAAAAATATAAATAAATAAAAAAGATGGGAGAAGGCACCAGAGTGTATTTGCCAACCTCAGTTTTGCTAGGATTGGCTCTTAACAAAAATGATCCCAGGTGACTATTTCATTAGCATACATTCTTTTTGTTATTTGTTTTTTGAGACAAAGTCTCATTATGTTGCCCTCGGTAGAGTGCTGTGGCGTTACAGCTCATAGCAACCTCAAACTCTTGGGCTTAAGTGATTCTCTTGCCTCAGCCTCCCAAGTAGCTGGGACTACAGGTGCCCACCACAACGCCTGGCTATTTTTTGCTTGTAGTTATCATTGTTATTTGGCAGGCCCAGGCTGGGTTAGAACCTGCCAGCTCTGGTGTATGTGGCTGGCCCCCTAGCTGCTGAGCTACAGGCGCTGAGCCTAGCATACATTCTTATGACTGTGGGATAATATATGTTGTATACATGTTATACAAAATATTTTATATCTGTATACACGCATATATATATTATATAGGTCCTCTGTCAAACTTAAAAGCCAGATAAGGTGTCCTAAGTGCAGTTTGTTATTAAAGCTTAAAGCTTAAAACTGTACTTAGGACACCTTATCTGGCTTTTAAATTTGACAGAGGACCATTATATATATATAGTTTTAAAAATTATAGGTGTCCTGCACTATAATTTTTTTTAAGTTTTAATGCATAAATGGTAAGATTTATTTTTAACAAGTCATTTGTGATATGAATGATTATCCTTTAGATCACAACACAGAAAACGGGATGTTATTTGAGTACTCACACCTATTCTATAAAGCCTGGAGAACAATTCTGTTGTCTTAAAGTATTGTGAAGAATTTATAGTTTTTAAAGCTGTATATATAGCTTTTAAATTTGACAGAGAACCACTATATATAAAGTCAGCTGCACTGACTTTTGGGACACCATTATTTTGCATGTACTTGCCTGGGTAATCTGTTAAATGCTGTTTCTTTTAGGATACATGTACCTTTACACAAAGGGAGAATGTTAGAGGGTAGATGTGGTTAACTTCAGACTGTTCTTTCAGAAAGAACATCATTTACCCCTGTGTTCACACTATAAAATTTGCCCATGTAAGTCCTATAGAGGTTTGGTCTCCTTATGCATTAGGTGATCTGCTATATACTTGTGAAGTATAGATGTATAGATGTCCCACAATGATAAGTTGTACACATGTGTGTGAAACAGGCCTTGGGAGGGGAGGCATGACTCTGAGCGGCTCCAGTTGTGACTGGTGTGAGACAATATTTAAGTGCATTTGTGCTCTGACTTATTAGTTTATGCTCTGCCTCTCCCCAGCTATCTTTCGATGATTCAAAGAGGGATCTAGTTGTGTTGAGTGACCGGCCCCAGATATTGTTCAGAGAGTCTCGCTATCCTCACAGTATGCCACTGGTATGCTATTACTTCAGTGAAGCCTACTTCTTTGCCTCCCTCTCTTGGGTAACATCAAGCACGAAAGAAATACAGGTAAAATTTCTTCCCCTTCTTAGCCCATTCTCCAAGGGCCATGCCCACATAGCTCTTAACACAGACAAAGGAAGATATGCTTATACTCCTTAAATGGATGTGATCTGGATCTAGCATTCCCCCTACACACACCAATCCTTTCTCCATGTTGAGTAGACTTTATGACTCACTTAAAGTGGGCTGGGCTTAGGGAAAGAGTCCTAGGCTTCCTGCCTCTACCATATTTCTAACTCTCATCACCAACAGGCAAAAATCACTCTAGAGCAGTGTTTTTCAACCTTTTTTTATTTCATGGCACACTTGAACCTATAGTTAAACTTCCATGGCATACTTAAATTATGTTGATCCAAAAAAAGAGTAAAAAAAGAATATACTTATAGTCCTCTGAACTTCTCTGAAAATTAATTAGCTGGGTGTAGTGGCTCATGCCTATAATTCTAGTATTTTGGAAAGCTGAGGCAAGTGGATTGCTTGAGCTCAGGAATTCAAGACCAGCCTGAGCAAGAGCAAAACTCTGTCTCTACTAAAAATAGACAAACTAAGGCCAGACGCAGTGGCTCACACCTATAATCCTAGCACTCTGGGAGGCCAAGGTGGGTAGATTGTCTGAACTCATAGATTCAAGACCAGCCTGAGCAAATGTGAGACCCTGTCTCTAAAAAATAGCCAGGCGTTGTGGCGGGTGCCTGTGGTCCCAGCTACTTGGGAGGCTAAGACAAGAGAATTGCTTGAGCCGAAGAGTTTGAGGTTGCTGTGACCTATGATGCCACAGCAATCTACCCAGGGCAGCAAAGTGAGACTCTGTCTATAAAATAAAATAGAAATAGAAAAACTAGTCGAGGTGGGTGGATTGCCTGA